ACTTTTCGTTTCAGTCACGGACTGGTTAAAGTTTGGTTTGATTTCTCTTATTTTAGCCTGTGGGCTGAGTGAGTAAACGATGTTCTGTTCACGATACGCGCAACACTATTGTGATTATTTACCGAAATAATTATGCCGAAAATGTTTGCGTCGTGTAATTGTCCAATTACGCTGCAAAACTGTTCATAATACACGATAATAAAGCGTTGAAAAATCTAAAAACGCTAAAGTCAACCTCTTAATTTGATAACCACGATTTTCTTGTCATATAGGCAACTGTAAATATTTTATATTGCAATAGACGATACATAGAAATTAAATGTCTTTTTTTTTTTTTTAGAAAATGTTTTATCAAGTAAAACCACGACAATCTACGAAGGAAATGTGTATTTACCAAGGCATTAGGCTATGTATTTTAGAGTACAATACTAAAATAATGTTTTATCTTTAAAAACTTTAGTATTATCAGTAGGCCATTTTACACTAACAAATTTTAATAGTTCAAATAGGTTGGTATATTAACATATAATTTGATGTCACACATACATGCAACTGATGTCTGTAAAATGTACTTTAGATAAATACTTCATCACTGTATTATTTTTATGGTAAAGGTTTTGACAGCTACAGTTGCTAGTTTTTTTGTTTTATTTTACAGTACTGTATATTTTTGACAGTGTAGCCTACTAATTCTAATACTGATGCTCAAACACGGGTTACTTTATTACAAAGTATTTATGTTTTCCTTCAATTGTAGAGTCCTAATTAAAATGTCCATTTGTTTAGGCTAGATAAATTTGACAGCTACAACTACTTGTTTTTATTTTTTTACAGTACTGTATTTTTTAGTGTACTAATTCTAATACTGATACTCAAACACAGTTTACTTTAATACTTTTTCAGAATGCCTAATCAAATAGTCTAATTAAAATGTCCATTAATTTAGATAAACATTGTTTGTCTACTGTCTACACTGAAATAAAATATTGACCATGAAAGTATAATTAAACAATTGAAATAGAACATGATAAATGCTAAATATTCAATTGAATATGCATGTTTTTCTTTTTTGTTGTTTTATTTTTACATGTGTATTTTTATATATTTTGTTTATCATTAAATTATGTTTACCCTAATTATTTAACATTATTTTCTACTGCTTTATTTCAGTTCCCTCTGGTGGCCTTTGGGGATATAGCAAAGCTGTGATTTGAGCATCAAGAAGGACAGAAGTTAATATTTCAATATAAATGATCCCACAACACAAGGATATATTACAACTATATTAAATCCTCCTGAGAGTTGTTTTATGTGCTTTGTTGGAATATGGCAATAAGAGGGATTACAGAGATCCTTAAGAAAAGTTTTTAAGGATAGCAAAAGAAGTAGGAAGAATGGAAGCCTCATTCGCTGCTAGCGCCGCCGTTGCTCCAACTCTGCCACCTATTACCTCGTCTCCAGGTTACCTGCGCAGAGTGTTTCGGGAGTATCAAAGCAACGCCGTCATCATGGCCCATTACAACTTCACCGGAAAGCTGAAAGAGAACAAATACCGGGATGGACTGAAACCCGAGGCCATTGTGTTTCTTATCATTTGTCTTCTCATTGTGGTGGAAAATGCCATTGTTTTGTTGGCAATATGGAAGAACAAAAAATTCCACATGCCCATGTTCTACTTGCTGGGCAACTTGACACTCTCTGACTTGCTAGCAGGCTTCACCTACATGGTGAACATCGTGACTTCGGGCGCAAACACTCTCAAAATGACTCCAGTGCTGTGGTTTCTTCGAGAAGGCGGCGTGTTTATCACACTTTCTGCGTCTGTCATCAGTCTCCTCGCTATAGCTATCGAGCGACATGTCACGATGGTCCGGATGAAGCCGTATCAAGGGGCCAAGCGTGGCCGAATGTTCAGTTTGATTGGTGCAAGTTGGGTTCTTTCGGTGCTCCTCGGCATTCTCCCAATCATGGGCTGGAATTGCATAGGAAATCTGGACGAATGCTCCACCGTCTTGCCTCTTTACTCCAAGAGCTTCATCCTCTTCTGCATTACTGTGTTCACCCTGGTTCTGATGTCCATCGTGGTGCTCTACGTGCGCATCTTCCGCATAGTAAAGTCCAACACCCATCGGTTAGGCTGCAGCCCTCAGCGCAAAGGCCTGGCCAGGAAGTCCCAGAAGTATCTGGCTCTGCTGAAGACAGTCACCATCGTTCTCGGGGTCTTCATCGCCTGCTGGTTGCCTCTCTTTGTGCTCCTTCTGCTGGACTTCTGCTGCCCTGCTCAAAGCTGCGAGGTGCTGTTCAAGGCAGACTACTTCCTGGGTATCGCCATGATCAACTCGCTCCTAAACCCCATCATTTACACCCTAACTAGTAAAGACGTGCGGAGAGCCATTCTGAGACTGGTCTGCAGCTACTGTCTGATATCAAAAGATGGAGAGGTGAAGAAGTTTGGCATGTCTTTTCTGGACTGTAGCACCAGTAAGGTTGAGGTGCCATCACACAGACTGGAGGGCCTGGAGACGACGGTCTCCTCTGGGACCTTCACACCATCCACTATTAAAGCTATCTACCCGATGATATTGAAGAGCTGAGGAAAAAGAATGCATTAAGTTCAAACTGACAATGCAAGTCTTAATGGACAGTTCAACTTCTTCTGGTTCAGGTTGAATATTTATAAAACTGCCAAATAGACAAGTATGAGGTGCGTCGAAATGAATTCAGGAGACGTTGGATGAGATGGAACTCATAAATGTGGTTTTTGACTTCAGAGTTGAAGACTTGGTTTCCTCCACATGCATTGACGCAAACCAGAGAACATGGCAGACAAGAGGATTTTTTTTTTTTTACTGTGATAAAAAACAGTGTTTAAAATGGATTGTCTGAGGGTCAATACAAGAGCTACGGTGCCTTTTTAAAAATTGGATTTTAAACATTAAAAAACAAGCAGTTAAACAGCTGAACTGAGCAAATGCGATGCATTGTGCAAATATGCACTGAAAAGAACTCTTCTGATGTTATACGAGACTCTTATGAGCATTTTCAAAAATAATGAGCTTGTGTAACGAGTCATTTTCACCTCATTTTTCTAAATAACAGCTGAAATGTTCAGAGAATTTGTGGTGAAAAGACGCAAAGAAAAATGACGGATTGATGCTTCCACACACAAGCATGTTGTTAGTTCACGGGCATTTTAAGAGTACATATGCACGCAAATAAAAACTACAAGGCAAGTGACTATTTTTAATTTGTAAGATGTTTCCTCTTATAATGGTATTTTGGGAAGTACTGTTTTCATTTTAAAGCTCCCCTTAACCATTTAACCAAGTATGCTATACTTGTCTTTATTTGCTTATTCAGTAAATATAGTTTCAACTGACATAAGGTGGCACAAGCTATATAAATATTGTAACATAGTTTTTATGTTGTTGTATGGAATGGCATCATTTATGTGTAGCAGTCTGCAGCGATAAAAACAGCACTGACATTCAAGCAATATTGCATTTCTGTAAAACTGTGTACTGAAAAAGATGCATTTGCATGTGTTTAAATGTATTTTGTTTATCCTAAATTATGAGCCTTAAAAACAAATATTTTATAAATGCATTAATTAAAAATTCTCTTGAATGTTTGCTATTTGTTTAGTGTTTTAGTTTTGTTTAGTTTGATTACATTTAAGCTCTGCCCATTGTTTCCCATGAAAAATAAAATAGAGGGTGAAACAAATATGCATATGTAGGTGTATGTAAATACATACATTTTGCTGAGATGCAGTGGAAAACCCATCCACTGTTATATTATGAGCAGTTATAAAACAGCAAATGCACAAATATAAATGGTTAAAAATGCATGCAAGAATTTGAAAACAATGCTCTCAAAGTGAGTCTAGCTGATTTCCAGTTGCCTCAAGCACACTCACACCACATGTTAACCAAGCATAAACTAAACTATATTGTGGTTTCGTCTTTTCACATGAGCCACACAGAATTTTCTCACCGTTCTGTTTTTGCAAAAAACCCCTACAGAAAAAAAGATCATAAGCTCGTGCCAGTCCGGATGTTTATCGGAGCTGAAACGGCATGTGTCTGCACCTCAAGGGCATGATGTGACTCATTTTAGAAGTTAAACGACCAAAGGTTAAACTGGTCACGCACAGAGTAGGATGACTAGGCTTTTGAAAGAATACCCATCCATCTGCACTGGACAGATATTAAACACTGAAATTAGAAATAGTGAAAGTACAGAAAGAAAAGATGAGGACAAAATATGACTTGAAAAAAGGGAAATTATATAAAATCATTCTGGATGAAAATGAAACCAAATCTGAATATATGCTATATCCTACATCGTCACACTTTATATTTAAAAACATCAATTAAAAATATTTAAATCTAAACCTTAGGCAGGAGCTATATAAAATGAGTCTGATTTATTAATTATCCATCTAAATATATGCACATCTTAAAACAAACTAACATATCTCCATAGTTTCAGTTCAAGAGTTTTTCATTTTTGTCATGTCAATAAATCCTAATAATTAGGATTTTGTCTGCCAGCAAAAAAAAAACAGTACAATAAAAGTAACTTTTAAGGATTAAGCACACCAAGACTGAAACAAAAAAGCAGTACGAACAAACAAAACGAGAAACTCGCTTTCATGTTAATGTTAATGCAAGTTACAACCCATCTACCCCTATATTTTTAAATATGCTGCATGTCCTTTTTATATTTTCTTTGTCATTTTTTTTTAGAAGTCCTGAGAAATCCCTCTCTAAATTAGTATTCAAAAAGTATTAAAAGAGTACTTAATTTCTACATTTGCAAAAATTTATTTTAAATTTCATAGGAAATTCCCTGCTCTATGGAAACAGCAGGTGAGCCTTTTAACAAAGAGCAAATTATAACACAAAACTCACAAAATGCTATTCTAGTAATGCAAAACATGCATTTTCAGGCTGTGGGGGGAACTTTGTGAATGCATAGTGACATCTTGTGGTGTGTGATGCAAAGGGGACAAATTTATTAACAGACTTACAAAACACATACACATATATACACGCATAAAAACAAACAGTAATTTAGCTAACAGTGTACATGTGCACCAGGTCTACCATTCAGTATTGACCAGGCTCCACAGGTCATCGCTGATCTCACAGGGCGAGCGGGTGGATGTGTCTATGTTAATGGGGGCTGCCACATCCGCACCGTAGTGAACTGCCAAGAGACAAAAGGGATTTCATTCAGTCTAGAATATGAAACTTTTATGTTTATCATCATCATCATATACAGTAAATGTGTCAGGATTACCTCCCCTCAGTATGTGCGGCTCTGTGTCCACCTCCAGCTTTATCTTGGTTACTTTAAAGTAGAGCTGAGCAACGTATCTATATCAAGTAAGCAGCAAAACAATACAGACTTTTTTTAGTGGACATGATTTCAAAGCAGTCTGGCAAAACATTGACTCACAGTCATCAACATAGTTTTTTCATTTAAAAAATCATAAGGATTGCACTTAAGCGATTCATAGCTATGAAATATTTTAGGGCATAATTAAAATAAATTATACTCCAGATATTTTCAGGTTTTCAATGACCATGTGAACCTGGTGACATACTCTTCCATTCAAAAATTGTCTGGGTGTCAAAAAATTTGTACTTTTATCAAGGATGCATTAAATTGATCAAAAGTGACAGTAAAGACATTATTAGTGATACAAAAGATTTCAAATAAATGCTGTTCTTTCGAACTTTCTATTCCTGAATCCTGAAAAAGCATGTCAGTTTCCACAAAAATATGAAGCTGTTTTTTCCAACATTGATAATAAGAAATGTTTCTTGTGCAGCAAATCAGCATATTAGAATGATTTCTGAAGGATCATGTGACAATGAAGACTGGAGTAATGATGCTGAAAATACAGCTTTGTATCACAGGAATAAATTTTTTTAAATTGTATTAAAATAGAAAACAGTTTCTTTAAATGGTAATAATATTTCACAATATTACTGTTTTTAGTGTATTTATCAAATAAATGCAGCCTTAGTGAGCATAAGAGACTTAATGAAAAAAAAAAAAAAAATTTAAAAAACCCTTTTGAATGGTAGTGTACACGATAGGGGATTGAACAATGTAGTCCTTTGTCATTCCAAACACAAGGTGAACTAATGCCAGCTCCGTGCTTACATGGCTGAAGGAATGACCTCAGTTGTGTCCTCATCCACTTCCTGTTGCAGAGTTTGAATTTCCTGCTCGGTATCTCTGAGTCTTTCCAACTCTTTCTGCAAGTATCTGACCCATGTGTTAAGGAAACCACAGTAAACAACCAAACTAAAGGGTAGCAAAGTTCATAATCAAAACGTAAACTAAACAACACTCATTTTTGGTAAAATAATAATAAAAAACACAAAACAGATCTTATCTGAGATTAGCTTGAGATTAGTGAGCCTGGCAGTACTTAAAGGAGACATATTATGTCCCTTTTTACAATATGTAATAAAAGTCTCTGGTGTCCCCAGAATGTGTCTGTGAAGTTTCAGCTCAAAATACTCCACAGATAATTTATTATATCATTTTGAAAATGCCTATTTTGAGTGGAAGCAGAAACACGCTGTTTTTCGGGCCTGTCTCTTTAAATGCAAATGAGCTGCTGCTCCCCGCCCCCTTTTCCAGAATAGAGCTGCGCCATTACAGCTCAGACCTGCTAAAAACATCTGTTTTGGTTCTGATTATCATGTTTATCGCGCTGAAATCATGCGTTTTAAACCATATGAGTTTAAACTTCTGATATACGGTTTTCTGAGCGCACACATCCGAAGCACACGGACAGAA